CCCCAAAACCCCAAAACCCCAAAACCCCAAAACCCCTTTGAACCAAGATTAGCTTGAAATTTTTTATTTAGACATACTGAAGACTACAATTAATGATTTTTATTAAACTTGAGCTTTACACAAAATTTCAAGTTTAAAGTTATAGCAAGGAGAAATTTTATCTTCATTTTAAATTTTGTTTCAATTTCTTTCTTTTCAGAGATAAGTTGTGTAAGGTTACCAAAGACATTAACATTGCTTTTGACCCTATTTGAAATAGCATCTTCTGGTTACTTCCAAACCCAGTAAAATTTTCTGTAAGACCGAATCAATAGGAGTATTTAGGGGCTCTCCAAAGCTTTGTGCATGGTTTCTCATACACTTTCACTATTGGACCAAGCCACCTCTGTTGATATTACCAGGACTAAAGTTTATTTATTAGAGGGATTCTCCTGTTAGAGTGATCTTTGGATAGCTTTTAGGTTAGGGGATTTTAAGTGGGCTTAGGTCAAATTAAGGCAGTTTATTGGTAAAGATGTTGTCTTTTAGTGGGAAAATTGTGAAGAATAGGTAAAGGTAGATATAGAAGGTTCTAGGGAATATTTTGTAGGAGGAGATTGGAAGTTTGGGAATTAGAGTTAGGTGGTGATAAATTTGGGTAGTTTTGGTCTTCCAGACTTGATTTCAATAAGAGTTTAATTTAAGATGTCATTAGCAAGCTTGAGTCTAATCAATCAAAATTAGGTAAGAAAATCATTTTTATAACAATACCAATATATTCTTGTATCTAAGTCAAGGAATATCTTCAAAATTGATGAAAATATAGCCTCATGATGTAGATGTGATTGTTGCCAACCACTTTTCACATTGCCATGGCTAAGATCATGGTAGCTGATAACGTGAAGGTTGGCTCCCAAAATGTCTTCATGCACGGAACTGGAACCTACACTGGTGAGATTGCTGCAGAGCATCTGAAATATTTTAACCTCGAGTGGGCTATTGTAGGCCGCTCTGAGAGAAGATCTCTCTATGGTGAAAATAGCAATGTTATTGGAACTAAAGTCTCCAATTCTCTTGAACAAGGTTTCGACTTGATCTTATGTATCGGTGAAACATTTGATCAAAGAGAATTCAACTCTACTAATGATATGCTGAAAGAGCAACTGGATTAATGCAATAAATCTGTGAAAGACTGAAGCTAAATTGTAATTGTTTATGAACCTGTCTAGGCAATTGGCACTGGAAAAGTTGCTAATCCAGAGCAAGCTAAAGAAGCCCACTCATAAATTAGGCAATGGATCACCAAAAATATCTTTGAAGAGATTGGAATTGCTACCAGAATTGTATATGATGGATCTGCCAACTACAAGAACTGTGGAGAATTGATCGGGCAATCTGAGATTGATGGGTTCTTATGTGGAAGTACTTCTCTCAAATTGGCTTTCCAGAAAATTGTTTCAACTACTAGCGAGCATCAAGGAAGTCAAGAAAGTGCTTTGAGTCTTTTTGATAATTTAGGTGAAGCCAACAATTGATATTAAAATAGGGGTTTTGGGGTTTTGGGGTTTTGGGG